TGAATGCCCAGATACCAAGCAATGGAATATTTTCTTTAAATGCCAGTTAATGATCAACGGAAAATGTCATCACGATGAAGTTATGCAGGCACTTAAGTGCTCTGCTGGATCGGGTCTTTGTGAGATACATTATAGTCCCACATTCAGTGAGGTTTTCTGAGTGTGATAAATAAAACATCTGAACCTCTATGAAAAGGAGAAAAAAAAAAAAGGAAAGAGATATATGTAAAATATTTTTAAAGCTCCTTTAGTTCTCGGTTGGCACAGTGGAGAGAAAGAGGGAAGGAGAATGCAAAAGCATAAACTAGACTATGCTTGTGTAAATTACTCTGACATTTAATAACTCTCTACTAAAAATTCCCAAGCAAGGCTGCTTCAGGTATTTCTAAGGCCATGTATCATTTACTGTCTAGGTCAATTTATGCATCAGCAAAAATTGCTGCAAACCCTTCTGGACAGCACTTTAAAAATAAAGGTATATGTAACTGTTTTGGCCATATTTTCCTCACCAGTTTCTGCTCCGCAAGCATTTCACCTTGGAAAATTAAAGTAACATTCTATAATAAGTGAAGTCAGTATGATATTTCAAGACAAGCCAAGGACAAGCTCTATAACTGTGCTATCAAAATGCTATTAATAACAGCAAAAATATACACATGATGCCTGGATTTCCCTATGGATGGAAAAAATTATTGTCCATTAAGTTAATATTTCAGATATCCTCTGAGTTTTTACTAAAGGCCCAAAGAAGGCAAAAGAACACATATCTCTTCTTGTTAACTTGTATAAACTATCTGCTATCATGTAGTGCTCCACTTTAGTAAACACTTCAAGGCTTCTTAGGAGAAGATATAGATCAGTAGGATTTCTGGGAGGGAAGAAGGTGGGAAATTGTTGCTAAAAAATGCACTTTCATATTTAAATTTTATAACAGTGTCTCAGTTTATTTTTGTTTGGGTCCACAGGGTTGTGTTTATAATTGCATCTTACATTAAGCATCTAAATTCTCATTTATATAGTTTACCTAGCTGCTGAATTCAGTGGTTCCATAGTTATCCCCAGGACAATCCATGGTGCAGTAAGGGGCAAGGCTGGCTAGATCGTCTCAGGTACCCCAGTTACATCCCTCAGTGTCTCTCTGCACGTCCCTGAGCATTGCTGAGCCACCCTCTCCAGAAATTCTCAACAACGCATGTGTAGTTACACCCACTCTTTATTGAAGTGCTCCTTCCCCGGGAGAAAACATGTTTTAAAGTACTATATATTTGTACTGAGTTTTAGAGTTTGTGCTCACACCATTTTTTAAAATAAAATACCCAAGGAAAATATGGCTCGGAGAATTTGCCTTTTCACCTGGTCTCAGGTGATCAAAATGCATATACACATGTTTTCACTGGAGACAAATTATGAGAGAGAGAGAGAGTGTGTGTGTGTGTTTGTGTGTTTGGCTTCCTTCTTTTTCAGTGGTTAAAAAGAAATCAATTTTGAAATGAAAATGTAGTTTGGGAAAAAAAGCCCAAGACAGTTCACTTTGAAAATATCACAGAGCATTTTGAAACATACTGGAAAAAATTTAGTATTTGTCAAATTAATTTCATTATTTATAATAACTTCCATCCTCTCACAAATCTTGATATTTTCATTGAAATCACTATTATTGATTTTCCCTTTCTCACAGCCCTAACAAGAATGAAAGATGAACTATAACATAAAGTCACTTCCCTTTGTTAGTTACATTGATGTGATACATTAGATATTTTGAAAAAACTCACTAATGAGACATAGTCTTTCCGAGATAAAAATGCTCACTGTGTTCAAAGGACTTTTAAAGGAGTCTTTTTTCCACTCTTATTTTCAATGCTCTCGTTACACCAATGGGAAATTCTTAGGAAACTTCTCAGATTTTGCACATTTATTTTGTTTCATTTTAGATCCCTGTCTCACAAAACACTGTGAAAATTTCTTGGGCAATTTATATTACTATTAAAAACTGAACTAACTTTATTATTCATTCAATCTCCTCCATTATTTATCCCTCTTGATTTGAAAGTAGGACTCACAACTGCAGCACAAGGAGTTTGCTGCAAGTCCCTGGAACGCAGCCTCGCCACAATTAGCCATTGATCCAGCTGCTCGTGCCATGACAAGGGAATGCAAACTCCCTCCTCCTTGAGGCTACAGCTCCACAGAGAAACCTTCCAACATCACAGGCTTCTACCACTACATTTCTTAACTTAATAAACAACATTGGCTCAGCGTTGAGTTCTTAAGCTGCAAGGAGATACACACACTTTTATTTATTAGGAAAGTAGGATTTTTTTTTTCCCATCATAAACCAGTTCATTCTTTCTGTATATGCAGATTTCTTTATTTTATTTTTTTTTTTGCCAACCTCTGGTAACACAACCTTACATAGGCTTAAATTGATGCAACAAGATTTCTCATGCAGAACGAGATACACGTTCAATATGCTTCCCCTCCCCCCAAAAAAAAAATTTAAAAAAAAGCTTTCACTGCATGAGTAAAACCTCACAAATGTGTGAAAGACCTATGTCAAATACTCACATTTTATGAATGAGGTTAGTGAACAATGAGCTTGGAGAAAGGAAGAAAAATTCATAGCACTCAATGACTATGACAGATGTCACTTAATTTTAATTATTGATGACAGTATTTCAAACTATGCTTGTTAAGACAGTGGAGTGTAAAAGCAGAACACTTTACAGTACCCAGCTGCCAAGAGGTCACTGGGAGGTAGTAGGAGACATCAAGATTTTAGTGGCACTTTTCAGTAACTGTGCCGATTTCAGTGTTTCTCTTTCCCTCAAGATGTATCTACCACTACTGTAAAAAGTTTCTTCTCCATATCCATTTCAGCTGGAAATAAGAAGCAAGTAACTGACATAGTGCCTGTGGCTTGGAGTCCAGGTAAGCCATTTCTGTACCTGTGTGATGCATTATAATTTTTAATTACTATATTGCAAACTAGCAGTCAAAAATGTCACACACCCCTTCACCACACTTTGTGCTGATGCACAGATCTACCCACGTTGGTATGATTACAAGGTAGTAGCCATATTCAGATGACTATGATGGATTTTGGATTCTAGTTCTTGACCCTGTTTTTCTAGTCTTGTCTCCAACTTATATTTGATAGATATGGCATAAATTGATTATTCAAATGTCACAACTTCCTGTGATTAACTGTGATAATTTAACCATGTATATAATACAATTTCTTGGTTTAATACACAGTACTTAACTTATTTTCCTTGTTAAAACATCTTCTACTGACTTTAATTACACTCACGAGAATAGAGAAGTCAAAAAACATATTATTTCACTGCAGCCTCAGGTGAAAAGAAAAGGTTTCGTGGCTCAGGGAATCACTCTTTAGTGACTTCAATACTACTTACTCCTGATCCTCAACTGAAATCCACTGCTCACATCTTACAAATGAAGTGTGATCCCGAAGTGCTCCAAACTGATTAAATGAAAACCAGGCAGGTGACCAATTATCAAGTAGTTCGCTCCTTGACCCTATATTCTTGGTAGATATGTTTGTACACTTGCGTTTAGTGGCTCGGGGAGGAAATAACCACCTCATGAAGTAATATATACATGTGTTTGCATTTATATTGTTTGAAATAATGATGTAATACCACAGGCCCTCAGGAACCTCATGTTAATTTCTTACCTACCAAATCTGGCTTCTGTAAGCCTTTCTTTGCCAGCCCCAATTCCTTACTGAGCTGAAATGGTTTATGCCTGCTAGGTTTCACAGAATCACTGACTCAATTATGTCGGAAAAGACCTCTGAGATCATCAAGTCCAACCTGTGATGAAACACCACTATGTCAACGAGACCATGGCACTGAGTGCCACATCCAGTCTTTCCTTAAACACCTCCAGGGATGGTGACTCCATTGCCTTCCTGGGCAGCCCATTCTAATGTTTAATAACTCTGTGAAGAAATGCTGCCTAATGTCCAACCTAAACCTCCCCTGGTGCAGCTAAAGGCCATTTCCTGATGTTTGTTGCCTGGGAAAAGAGGCTGATCCCCACCTGGCTACAACCTCCCCTCAGGCAGTTGTAGTAAGTGATAGGGTCACCAGCTGAGCCTCCTCTTCTCCAGATTAAACACCCCCAGCTCCCTCAGCTGTTCTTAATAAGAATCATTTCATAGACCCTTCTTCACCAGCCTCATTGCCCTTCTCTGGACTCATTCCAGCACCTCCTTCCTCAAGCGAGGAGCCCAGAACTGGACACAGGACTCGAGGTGTGGCCTCCCCAGTGCCGAGTACAGGGGAAGAATCACTTCCCTGGTCCCGTTGGCCACTCTATTTCTGATATAGGCCTTTTCTGATATATTGGCCTTTTTGGTCTCCTGGGCAAAAGCTGCATCATGTTCAGCTGCTGTCAACCCTCTGGGCCACTTTCCAGCCACCCTTGCCCGAGCCTGTAGCACTGCAGGTGGACGCTGTGGGCTAAAGTATTGGCCTTGTTGAACTTCACGCCATTGGCCTCAGCCCATCGATCCACCCTGGCCAGACCTCTCAGCAGAGCCTTCCTGTCCTCCAGCAGATCCACAGTCCCACCCAAACGGGTGTCCTCCGCGAATCTGCTAATGGCAAAATGGCAAAATTTGCCAATGGCAAAATTTGCCAATGGCAAAATTTGCCAATGGCAAAATTTGCCAATGGCAAAACTCGGGGCACCTCAGGACAAGCCGACGGCCGAGGCCCACTGGAGGGCACGCTCTACCCCTAATGCCGCGGCGGACTGAGCTTTTATTTCCCTGGACTATGGGAGAGAACGACGCACCCCCATCCCCGGGCGGGGAGACCCGCGCACGTCTCACGGCGGGCGGGGGGTGGGGCGGGGCCGCAGTTCTCCTCCGCGTCCGGCTCCCCTCCCCTCCGCCGCGCGGGGCCAATGGGCGCTCGAGGCGGTGCGGCGGCGGCCAATCAGCGGCGGCGGCGGGGCTGCCCGGGAAAATGGCGGCGGTGCCGGCGGCGGCAGTGGCGGGAGGGACGCGGCGGCGCCGCCGCAGCGAGCGCCATGCCCGGTAGCCGGCGCAGGGGGCTCTGCCTCAGGCCCGCCGCCGCCCTGAGGAGGCGCAGCGGCGGCGGCGAGGAGCAGCTCAGCCGGCGGCGGGCGGAGGAGGAGGAGGAAGAGGCGGCGGAGGGCGGCGCGGGCCGAGGCCTGCCCGCGGCGGAGGCGGCGTGCGCGCCCCGCGCTGCAGGTACGGCGGGAGCGGCCCCTGCGGGCCCCGGCGCTGCCCGCCGACCCTGGGGGCGCGGCCGAGCCGTGAGGAGGGGCCGGCGCGGTGTGAAACCCGCGTTCCTCCCCCGCCCCTGTGCCCTGGGAAGGGGCTGTTCTTGTCCAGAGCGGTGTGCCCTGGGGCCAAGAAGGCCACTGGTGCCCTGGGGTGCACTGGGAAGAGCGCTATCAGCAGGTCGAGGGGGATGATCCTGCACCTTTATTCAGCCCTGGTGAGGCACATCTGGAGTGCTGTGTCCAGTTCTGGGCTCCTCAGGACAAGAGAGATGTGTAGCTCCTGGAGCAGGTCCAGCAGAAGGGGCACCAAGTTGGTCAAAGGTCTGGAGCACCTCTCTCATGAGGGAGTTGGGCCTGTTCAGCATCGAGACCACTGAAAAGGGATCTCATTAATGTGTATAAATATCAAAGCAGGGGTGTCAAGAGGATGGTCCAGGCTCTGCTTGGTGGTCACAAGCAATAGGACAAGAGGCAACAGGGAGAAACTGATGAACAGGAAGTTCCACCTGAATATGGAGAAAAACTTCACTGTGCAGATGACTGAGCACTGGACAGGTTTCCCAGAGAGGTTGTTGAGTCTCCCACACTGGAGATACTCCAGAACCATCTGAATGCAATCCTGTGCAGTGTGCTCTGTGATGGCCCTGCTTGAGCAGAGAGGTTGGACCAGATGACGTACTGTGGTCCTTCCAGCCTGTCCCATTCTATGATTCTGTGATTCCCATGGCACTGAGACACTAAGAAGTAACTGAGGCTGTTGATCCACTCTAGGAGAGGATAAAACCTGGCCACGCTGGGCACTTCAGTGCAAAACATCTCCTAAGACACTTCTTGCGTAGTAATTGCATCTTTTAAATTATTGCTGTAGGCTTTCACATCTGTAACACCATTTCTAAAGGGCAGGGGTGGCCAGCTGAGCTTCACATAGTGTGTTCAGTTCACTTACTGATCAGAGGCAGCTGCAAGCAGGTTTTGAATAGCTATATTGCTGCTTCTAACAGTCCAAGCTGGAAAGGCCCAGGGGAGGAAGTATAGACGAAGGTAGGTTATGACCCAGAGCAGTTTGGAGGCCCATTAAAGTTGTAGCTCAAATCAGTCTGGGTGAAAGATCCAAAGCAAGCAAGAATATAAAATATTTTCTCATGTAGGTATACATAGTTCTTTCTCTTAATGTAAGCTGAATATTCTCTCAAGTAGAAGGATTGACAGTTCCCATCCTTACCATCAGATGCTGAGTGTGTAGCTGTCAGGATCATGTTATATCTGTGATAATGTAACTGGCAAAGCTAAGTTACATCTGCATTAAATGTCTAGTTGTGAACAATATTCCTGTTGTGAGTAAATAGTGCTGATGAGTGTAAGCTCTACTTTTATTCTTGAATTTCCTAAAAGATCTTCTTATGCCTTGACCTGTTGTATGTTCTAAGTGATTTGGGCCTTTTATTTGTTGTTTTTTAACAAGTATCCTCTTTCTGTTTACACAGAGTCATGTTTACATAAAACTCCAAAGAGGTCCTTGAGTAGGAAATCCCGAATACCTACTTTCAGCTCTCCTGTTAATGACACTGATACACAGCAAGAAATCTTTTGGGATTCTCATTCACCAATTGCACACAGACTAGGTAAGATCAAAATCCAGGCTTCAGGACACCTGTTTGAGGCATGCAGTGTGAGTGTACTAAAAGTTACCAAAGATTTCTTGGAAAAAGGCCCCTTTCTCTTATAATGGCTAAGTTGTTTGGTTTTATTTTTATTAAAGAACCATAAATTCTTCAATATAGTACTGAATCAAACTCTGATTTTAACACATAGATTTGAATTGAGATGTGCTGCACTTCATAAATTGAATTGGTTTGCAATTTTTGAGAAGTTTGTTTGCTTGTTTGTTTGTTTTCATAGGCAGTGGAAAAACCAAACAGTCCACCAGTGGGTGCGCAGTAGAAATTTCGGAAATTGTTAATCGTATTGCTCCTCAGGTAATTGTTACTTTCTTAACCAATTCTCTGCATATGCAGTAATCAAACAGAACAGTGCTTCAGCCTAAGCCTCAGTTTTAGTTACAGTAGTTTCATGGTAAAAGGTGGGTGTGTAGAAAATTAGTAGCATGTTCATAAAACTGGATTGAATTAGAATTGTAAGTGTAGCATTGACTGGTTGCTCTATGAGTCACAGATACTGTAAAAAAAGATGCATTAAGAAAGTGGACTTGCAGCAGCTCTGTTTTAGAAAGGTTTACTGTCAGAATGCAAGTTATTGCCCCTGGTTTTAGGAATACTGTTTTGTTTATTTCTCCTTAATCACTCATTTGTTCAAAGGTAAGAGTTTTTCACACACTGGATTTACTTGACAGTTGTTTTTAAGCATTTTGAATGGTCCTGATTGACTGCTGAAGTACAAAAACAGGATTGAGATGAGAGAGATAACTCTACAATAATATAAACAGAGTAACCTTGCTTTGATACTCTAAATAATTTGCCTTTTTACCCTAGGATCCCTGCCCTTTCCCTCTTACCCTGAACCTGATGTCCACAGCCTAGAAAGTGAAAATAAAAGTGTTTTCTTGTTGTTGCATTTTAAGTGCAAGAAGAGAACATGTAATTCATAAAATGGATGTGTAGTATTTAGCTTGCAAAATATGCCTGCTTATTTGACAGGCCTATTTAAATTGTATTCACTGTTTGGCATATTTGTGAGAAATTATACTTAAGAATTGGAAAACCATTGGTAAGGGATGCCACTATCTTCCCTGTAAATGGTTACAGCCCTGCCATAAATGTAAATAATATAAGGGTTTACAACTATCTGTTGCTCATGTTCTGTTTTTCTTAAATAAAAATAAATTTTAAAAATTAATTTTACAAAGAATAAGAAAACCTACCCCAAACTACCCTAGTAGTTAGTAAAGTTCAAATTTATTTTTCTGGCTTGCATGCAGTAATTTCCCACATCCTATTGCTCTGCTGTTGTAGACAATTTACCAGTGCACTATTATATCTCTTAGACTTCAGAATTTAAATTCGAGCCTGAACTTTGAAGTTCTAAAACAACTTTGTTTAGTTTCTAAACGTCACTTACTTCAGTTTGAAGGCTTTTTGTGTAAATGAGTTGTAATGGAAGAAGTCATAATTTTTTTTCTGGTAGCATACAGAATGTGATTTCTTTTAAATTCTCTAATCTGTTAGTGCTGCTTTAAGTGGATAAAGCCAGTGCCTCTCAGGCAGCTCCTTAGTTTTATATACTGGAGTAAACTTGTAAGATTACAGCTTGTAACGTGAATATTGCAGAATACGTGTAAGCCTGATGTAAATAGAGTATTAGATTTGAGCACCAAAGTAAAATTCATTTATTTTAGTTGAAGTTCCTGTTTTAAAACAATATAATTGAAGTTTAATCTCAATTTTAACTTGTATTGCTTTAGCTCCTATCTGAGGCTTTCAACAGGTTTCATATGTTTACTTGGTTTAGCAACTTTAACTCACGCAAGGTGTGTGTCTAGTCCAATCTTTATCTGACATCACATTTCTAAGCATTATAAATCTAATCATTCAGGATGAAAAATCAGCCTGTAGTGAAGGCTCCATTTTAGGAACATGGATTGGTGAGGATGCTATTCCCTATACACCTGGAGTAGTAAAAGTGCGATCTAGGACAAAGTTAAGTTGTACAAGGTGAGTTACAGTTTTTTCTTGCCCATCATAGCTGGGTTTTCATGAAAAAAGATTTGTGGTCTTTTATATATAGTGAGCCATGTAATTGTACATTAGCATATAGAATGCTTTGGGCTTGTTATCTCTTCTTAATGGGGTATTTCTATCAAAATGATTGCATGTTGACTGCACATTGTGGGATTCGGTCATCTTCTCTGTAGTTGTTAAACTAGAGATTGAACAGCTCACATGGTCATGTTATTGAGCTTAGCTAAACACTCTCAGTAGCTCTGACTTTCTATTTTGTTTTGCTTTTTTTTTTTGTATCCAGGGATCTTAAGATAACAATTCCCGAAGAGGAACTCATGAAATTGGCTAAGGAATTTGATAGAAACCTAGTAGAGCTAGATGCTGTTCAGGAACAGGAGAAACTTGGTCATAACTTCATCCAGAGCACCTCAGAGCCTTTGAATAATTCTAAAGATGAAGTAAACATGAAGAACGAGATACCACTCCTTGGTGAAGGTTCTGAAACAGATACTGCTCTGTCCCTGAAACCAGCTGGACAGAGCACTGGCATTCCTGCTGCAGGGCCCTGTCGGTCCAGCAGTCAAAAGTCTGTAGACCTTGAGTCTGAAATAGCCCTTCAGGCTCTTTTTGACTGTTCTACCCAGAAGTGTAGTGGGCAGCTGAGCCAAGGACTGTCAGATATTTCTTTAAATAACAGTTTTCATAAAAATAAAAGTACCTTGGAGGAGGAGCAGCTTCCTGAGGAAACTGAAGATATGCAATGTGGTAATTCAGAGGCACAAGAAAAAGGTGCAGTGGGGAGCGTGAACCAGACGGTACCAAAACCTGATATGACAAAAAAAAATCCTCCTTCTTTGAAGACACAACTGGTGGCCTCCACTAAGCTGGCTGGAGTAGTTAATGATGACTTTGATGACTGGGATACAGATTTTTTGGCAGATGACTCTTTTATGATGCAAATAACCCAAAATCCTGAATTGATAAGTACTGAAGAACCACCACCAATTCCTGCAGATCCACCTGGCTATGGTTTCAGTGATGCTAGCAGAACAAAGCAGAGAAGTAGTGGCAATTTGGTAACTTGTTTGGGGAGTGTAAACAAATCTAACAGTTTGCAGTATTCACCTTTGAAACATTCTAGTAAAAACATACAAAATGTTGTAAAATCTCTGTCTTTACAAAAGCCATGTAAGACAGAAAACTCAGAGACCACAGCCTTGCATGGCAAATGTGATGTTAAGCCAGATAAAATAAATTCCATTTGGAAAAGTGCTCGAAACAGTGATCTGAACTGTATTTCTGTTCCAGTGCAATCTGAAGTGAAGAATGGAAATGAAACTACTCAGCCTAAAAGTGACCCTCTTTTTCCTTCAAGATCTAATCCTCACAGACAACGGACAGAAAAACCTGGAAATACCACCCATGCTATTTCCTGTCAATCATCCAGTGTTTCTACCAATATGAAACCTAATGATCTAACTAAAGTGTTTGAAGCACCAAAGAAATGTCCTGTGCCATTTCATGAATGGAATGAACCAAAATTCTCTGATGAGGTGTTAGATATGTTTTGTGGATCCGATAGTCTTTGGGATGCTAACTTTGAGGATGATGAATTGTTGTATCAGGTGTGTGATGATATAGAAAAGCAGACTCAGAGCCAAGATGTTAAACAAGGAAATGAAAGAACTAAAACTATACAAGGAGCAAGTAGTAATTCCAGATCAAATGCTGATAAGAGCTTCCTAGCCTCTAAACAAGGACATTGCCTCTTGGCACAAAAAAATGCAAAACAGGAGGCTCTCTCTCTGAATGATTCCTGTAGGAATTCATCAAAGGTTATACATGGCCTGGCCACAACAGGTCATGCAGTGAACTGTAAGAGCATCTCAAGTCCTCGAACTGTGATCTCAGATCTTTCTACAGAGGGCAAATACACACTGACAAAAAACTGTCATCGGGATGCTTCTGAAGATACTAGAAAGACTGTTTTGGGGAAATGGTACAGGTCAAATTCTGTGCCAGCAGGAGACTCTGCTTCTGAAGTAAGTCCTGTTGATGCAGTAAACATTTTTAGCAACAAAACATTAGACAGCCCAGATCTCTTGTATAATACAGGAAAGATACCAAGTAGCACTTCTAGTAACAAAACATCACTCGTACCTTCAAAGTTTAAGTTCCGAAAGATTAACAATTCTAAGGGTGGTCTTCATGTAGGGTGTGAAAATTCAGGGAATCATTCTGGCATTGGAATTACTCTGCAGGGTTTGGAAGGAACCAAGAATCAGGTGAACATGACTTTGCACAGCAAGCTTGACAATAAGAAATCACCTTTCAAGAGGCACTTTTCAGAGTCTTTTGCACAGCCTTCATCAGGTATTTGTCTTTATTGTATCACTCTCACTGTTACTGTTTGTTTCCTTACTGTAGTCAGAATGTCAGAGAGATTTGTACTTTATTGCAACTTACAACAGGCTTCAATATTCGTCCATTCTTGTAGGTGTTAGCAAATGTTCTAGTGAGAATTTGGAGGTTATTTTCTCCAAAATAAAATTGTCCTGACCCATATCTTGAATCCCTGCCCATTTTCATTCCACTTCCCTAAGTACTTCAGACCCTCTCTCCACAGACAGTCAGAATCACTAGGCTCAAGTGCAGCCTGATGCAGTACTAAGCCTACTGTGTTCTTAAATTGTTATTTAAAAATACTGTTATTTTGATACATAGTAAAACCCCAGTTCATGGTGGGGCAGGGAGAGAAGGCACCAGGTGATATGAAATGCCAGTTTTTTTATATTATTGTACGCCTGAAATTTGGAACCTCAAATCACTTGGCGCTTTTCGAACCTCAGCCTGTGTCGTTGTTTGCTCTCTGGCTGAAATTGCCCGTGAAATATTCTTGTCTTATCAGTCTAAACACTAACATTTCCTTTTCATCCAGAGGGGAGATCAGGCACTTCTTCATCATTAAGTGACAGTCAGGAATATTCCATGAACTGGGCTTACTTGCTAGGGAAATGTAGAACTGATCAAGTTCCGGTCAGTCTTGTTTTCACTTGCTCTCACAACTTGGCAAAGTTTTAATCAGTATTAATTTTGATAAAACACACCTTTTAGAGTGTCCTATATCAACCTCCATTTTCAGGAAACACTTTTACAAAAACAACAAAATAATTCTTGTAAACTATCAGCCAGTTTTATCAAAGAATCAGTATTTTATTTGTGTTTTTTTCCCCAGCAAAGAAGCAGATAAATGGAAAGTAGCAATTTTGGATGTTAATGGGAAGGGGAGGAGGGAGATAACTAGTTATTCTGTGGAGTGTTCTAGAGAATAAAGGAATAAAAATAATAGCATAGATTTTCTTTACAGATAAACAACAACTGTCCTCATCTTGAATTTTGAGTGAGTTTTTTGTAACAAAAAGATGGCGTGATCCTTTCAAAAACTGATGTTTAATTTTTCGCAGACACCTTTTTTGTGAGAAACAAAGAGACCCTTTGTTTTATTTATATGGTTTGAACACTTATTAAAAATACATTAATTGGAAATTGGTGAATAAAAATGGTAAAATTATTGATATATGCAGGGAGGGTTCCTGTTGGTTCCAGCGAGGTCAGGATTTTATAGCATGGGAATTTATAGTTCTGTAACACAACATATAGAATGCTATGCTCAGCTATCATGTTCTTGTCTCTTTTGCCAATTTTTATTGCTACTTTTGACCTTTTTTCAACCTTCCTTGTTTTATTTGTGTGACACCTGTACTGTATCTGACCCCTGTGTCTCTACCATCTCCATGCCCATATCTCTGCCTAACTCACTAAATTGTAGAGCCCTTTTCACTCTGATAGCCTTAATTTTCTTAACCCATCACCATCTCCTATGTTGACTCCTGATGTCATAAGGTTCACTTGAAGGGCAGCCAAGTAAAATTTCCTTGAAGCAAATGTCTGCATCCCAGTGTTTTCATTGGGAGGTAGTAATCAGTAGCAGTACAAAGGTCATGCATTTTATCCCCCTTCCTGCCTGGGGGACAGGATAGATGAGCCATTTTTAACGTGGGTGCCCAGAATGTCAGAATAGTGTGCTCCTGCCATAGATCTTCAAACACTGAAAATAGATAAGTTAAAATACATATTGAACAAACCTGAAGGCTCCTAATACATGTTTTTTATTTACAGTGTCTGTGGTGGAACAGAAAAATAGAAAATGCTCTCAAGAAGAGATTGAAAGAAAAAAACAAGAAGCTCTTGCACGAAGAAAATCCAGAACACAGGCATTCTTTAAAGATGCTTGAATTTGGAGTTTATTTTTTCTGTGGAGTAAGTTTGTGGGAGGGAAATACTGTAATGCTGGAAGACACTTTTAAAACTCCATTCACATCTATTGATGGCAAGTTTTTTTCTGTTTCTCAGTGTAAAAAAATCTGGACCTGAACCATAACTAATACTCTGGTGGTATTTAGTCTTAATTAAAAACTATAAGTTGTGAATGTGTAGTCCCAAACTACCTTCAGCAAGATGAAGATTATGTTGAGTTCATGTACTGTTACATGTTGAAATTGCATAGTCTGAAAATCATGAGAGCATTGGTATACACACATAATGAAGGTGTCAAAAACAGACTATATTTTGGCTGTGTTATTGCAAGTATTCTAATCTTTAAGAAGACCCTCAAGTACACACAGACTAGGAAATAAAAAATGACGTTTGCTCTCAGGTAGAAGACAATTTTTAAGTTTTGGTTGAAATAAAGTACAGTCTAGGAAACATCCAACAATTGGAAAACTAATGGAAATGAACAGGCTTTGGAAAGCTCAGTTTATCTCTGTTACCTGAGGTAAGAAATGTACACAGAGAAGGAAAAATTTAATATAAAAGTTTCATAAGGTGAAAAAGCATCCTGCAAAGGACATGTTGTATTTTTTTAAATTCCTTTCATGAAGAGTTGGAAATACCCTGGCAAAATTGGAACACCCTTTTCTAAACACGCATCACCAAGCTAATTAAAAAGGGTAGCCTGTGTCATTTTACCAAACCATGAGCAATATATAATAAATCAGGTGAGATCTCAACAACTATGCATCGGTTTAACCTTATGGGTTGTACATATTTTCAGACTAAAGGCTGTTGAAACATAAAAATGCAATGTCATGTCAGCTTAACAGGGGCTGATAGAATTTTTGATGTGATAGATGGGTGTAGAGATCAAACTGCAAAAACTGCCTCTGGGTAAGCTGCAAGATATTTTTCAACTGAGAAATGCTTATATGTAAACATGTGACACTATGAAAAGTGACTGTAATTTTTCTTTGTAAATAAATAACTATAAAATGTACCAAAGGTTGGAGGAAGCTTTTGGTTTCTGTAGTATGTGCCATTTTTGTAACTCTTGAAAATGTAAGTATTGTATATTTGTAAGTCATCATTAAACTTTTTTTTTTTACATTTTTCTAATCTGTTCTGGAAAATACTATGCTACAGAAACTGGTAAAAGGGAGTGAAATGGGAATGCCATATGAACTTTACCTGAATGTCCTCATTTGATAATTTCCCTAATTATTCCATGCCCCAATTTTCTACTTCCACTGGTGACAAAGTGCTTCCTTTAATTTATTTAAATTAAAACTCCTTTCTGGAGGAACTAGTTCAACACACAACTGTCTAGTGTGTGTTGACACATATGACAAATTTTATCCTGAAGATGTAGTTTGCTCTGTGTAATTGAGGGATATGCTTGTCTTTGTGGTGTTCTAGGAGAATCTGAACTATCAGTAACTTGCCAGATGCACTATTAGCCAAGAAAATGGCAGTAAGAAGAGGCTTCTACTATCAGTATTAAATATGAGAGTTATAAAACTGTCTTTTAAGGTACTGATGCACAAGAATGTCAAATGTTATTGAGAAAGATAAAAATGAGGCTTTTGCTAGGACAGTGTTCAGCTTAGCAACCCTTCCCTCCCCAGGATTTTTCTCTAGAAATAATTCTGTAAAGAAATCAGGGTAATTTTTCTTTTCAAGGGTAATTTGGTTAATTATACTTATGACTGGAGAAGATGAGCTAAGTAGAAAGGAAGGAACTGTTGTAGGTGTTGGAGAGTCTTTTTTTAGCAAGAGAGTTCAATGTATAACAAGGGGAATGATCTTTCCATAAGGGGTATGGAAAGGACCCTTTGCAAATTTTCCAACTGGAGAAAGACACAAACTCCATTTTAACCAATTACTGTCACTTCTTACTAACCCACATACTTCCTCTGTGCTGCTTAACCATATTTAAAGAATCTCTTAGCTGATCAGTGTGAAACACATCAGTTTTGTCAGTGAGGCAAATGCATCCGTTGCCCGCCCTTATTAATCTAATCATGGCAGAGGAACTTTGTTTTTTATTTTACTTTTTATAAGTACCTATTTTTAACGTGGGTATTAAACTTCAAAGGCCTGTAATTTGGTTTTTATTAAACGTTACTTTCCAAATAGAAATCACAAGTTCTTGGGAGCATGGTGTCTTACCTCATGGTGAGACAAACCACCAAGATATTTTTGGTCACAGCCTGACTATTCCCAAATGCCCTAGCATACCATCTCTCAGTTAACAAACTGAATAGAATCACTTCTTTTTGTGACTTGACTTCCTCCCTCCCCTCACCGCTGAGAAAGGAAGTTGAGCAGCAGCTTCACCACCCTACAGATTTTACAGGTTATGCTCAGCAGCCCTCGTGCTTCCTGGTGAGTTCCTGATGACCCACTGATAATGCCTCAATCATGCAGTCTTTTGTCTGACTGCTTGCAGTAGACAACAGATCTTCATTAGGAAAGAATCTACATAATTTTAATTAATTAATACACGTGTACGCTTAAGAAGTTTAGTATTTCAATAGCTGACATTTCACTATGAAGCCACATCTTCCTCCAGGCAAAAAAGACCTGTCCAAATAGTAACAACAATCTTAAATACACTCTAAATTAAATTATGGCTGTCATGTTTCATTATAAATTAATTTATGACTGTTTGCTTAAGCACTCATCTTCTTTTCATTCAGAGCATAGCAGTTTTTTACATGAGCAATCAGTGAGCTTAAGTTTAAATGTAAATGGAATTTCTGTATGTCCTCATACCTGACTAAAGTATAATTTTTATTCCACAGATATTGATGGATTTCACAAGTGATGTTGCTCACTAAAATCCAAGTAATACCTTTCCCAAGTAAAACCTGTGGTGGATTTTTTTTCTTATAGGAAAGGCAGATAAGATCAGGATCTGTTCATCTTTATTCTTCTTATCTGTATCTAAAATTCTGTGTTGTGGAATATAAACACACATTCACACCCTTCCTGTTCATGCTGGTGAGGGATCACCTTTAAAGCATTTGAGAAATTTAGTAATACTGGGGGTTTATTGTGTTAGTTGTATCAGATTTTCAGAGAGGCCAGCACCCAGCAGCTCTTCAAATTTTGGCCTATAAGGCACAATTAATCTTGGGGCTGCAGTTCAGGAATAGCAATGTAATCTTATACTATGTGTACCACTTATTACATCTAGACCTTTATACCCAGAGGAATAACATAGATGAATTCATTGATTTTATCTTTTTAAGCCTAAAAAGAGCTACAATTTTTCAGGAAAGAATAGCTGGAAGCAACAGATAGTGACCTAAATAGTAGAATTCCAAAGATAAAATGGGAGAAAATGAACACAAATGCTTCATTGTTTGAGAGCTGTATTGTCTGCAGCACACTCCAGTGAATCCAGTGTTTGTGGAAGAGGCCAAGACAGATATAATCTGTGGAGCTAAAAATGACAGCCTGAGTAAGTAGCCATCAGAGATGAAGCCAGGGAAGACTCTGGCAATTGTGCTGTAAATCATAACTGCAATATTTGTTCACAGCTCCGGTTTCTGCACATACTGGTGGTTCTGTCAGAATAGTCAGAAAAAGTCCTGCCTCATAAAACACTTAAGGATATCTAATGCACTGTTCTTATGGAACTAAATATAAATTTCAGTGACTGTTGTCTGGGTATAATGTCAGAATGGAGCTGGCAAACCATTAAGGGCCTGATCCTGCTCCTGCAGCAATTTCCTTAAAGCACTGGAGGTAATGGGGTCACTCAGGTAATTAAAGAATCAAGCCCATGCATTTCATTATTGCAAGTAGTTCTTGCCTTTAGCACATACATCTAGTAAAACAGCATAGCATTTATCAGAAAATGTTATTGTTTATGCACATTTTCAAAGTTTTTTTGGGATAAAGGTTGCATTTACACATACCTTTTAAAGGCCACAGTTAACAGCTTTGACCTCAAACAATGTAGTTAACAGAGGTGAGGACTATAGGATTTATAGATTTCCTTTTTAATGAAGGTCGTCTGCTCTTTGCAGCTTGTCCTCACTAAAGGAAAAAACTGATTCAAGTTTTAACCCTGGAAAATTAGGATCCATACAGACATGGGAATGAAACTTTGCATGCCACACTCTTCATGAACAGAAGATGTCCAAATAAAATACTGTATTCCAACTGAGATTGCAAGTTAGGTTTGGAGTATTATTCAATTTTTTGGCTGAGCAGGGTGGGATTTCTTACATTCCTAAAGCTGAGGGTGTGTTGGGCATGTTTTGCAGAATCATGGCTGTAGGGTCAGGTGTCTGAGGATATTTAAGCACCTGAGGAAGTTACTCATGGAGAGTCGCATTGGTGATTCAGAGTAGTGTGATGAAGAGTTTGATTAACAGTTGGTTTTAAATATACCATTGGATACTTAGCTGCACCTTTGAGTGTTAGAGACCTGCAGAAAGCTGAATATACATGAGCATAATGAGAGATTAAAAAAATATGTTCTTCAAGGCTTGCATAACAGTTTGGAAACAGTAGATGAAGTGTCAACACTTCCTTTTCCACTAACGACTTGAAAGGGACCTTTTTTAAAAAAAAAAAAAATTAGCTCTCATGTTCTGCAGCAAAAGCCTGAAATATGCTTAGAAATATCACAAATCTGATTCCTGTCTTCTTAGTTGCTTCTTAAAGGCTATGCTGTACTTGGATAGAGTCAGATGTTTCTGTGAACTGTAATGCTTTAAATGAAGACAGCATTAACCCCAAAACTCATTTATTTATTGAACTTGAATAGGTGTTAGTAATGAATAAATGACTCTGAATTTTTT